CAATTTCTGTTCTATTAAGCAACAATTACTATTTTGCAGAAGCAAGCCAAGCATAACCTACAGAAGCCATAAATCTGTAGTTAGCAGGTGCACTCTGGGACACTCTGACCTTTTCTCAAGACAGTCAGGTCCAGGTGACATGTGTTCCCATACCCTGGGCCAACTGCCCAATAATTTCAGAGACTAGAGTCAGCCTAAACTTTAATATGGCGTAGCTATGGTCAAGAAGGTGCTCTTTTACATTATTACAATAAACTTGTTTGTTTGTTAAAAAAATTGCCCTAGAATATAAGTGCTCTTAGGGGCCCATTTTACAGAAGAAGAAACTGAAGCTCAGAGAGGGGGAAGGGTCTTCCTCAGTGTCACACAGGCAGAATTCTAAATTGGGTGCTTCAGAGTCGAGTGCCCATGTGGTGTGATTCTAAGCTCTCCCACCTTCCACATTCCATGTGTAAAGGGCTGTCTTGTGATTTCTGTCCTCGTGTGTGGATGGCCATGGCAATGTCAGTTGATGGTGGCTGTTGCACTGAGGATCTCATGGGTACAGGGATGTAGGCAGGTTCTTCAGAGGAAATGGAGATCCTCAGTCAGGTGGAGGATAGAGTCAACAATGGAATGGACAAGGGGTTCAGAGGAAGGACCAGAGCGAGGCTTTTAGCCTTTTCCACATCCTTCCCCAGTCTCTTTGAGAAATGGTACAAATGTGTAGCACAGGCTTACTCTGAGTTCAGTGTGGTCCCTGCCTGTCTCCAGTATCATTCTCACAACCCCCACCCCAATTTTGTTTCTGCTGATCACACATATCGCATCAGGACCCCCAGTTTCTGAGGTCCAAGGGTGGATTCTTAGTAGCCCCGAACAGTGGGTTCTCACTCTCCTGTAATATCATCTTTCAGACCTGGCCAGACTTGTCTTAAGGCTTGGTAGGTTGGAAAGGGTGGTGCTCTAGTGCTCCTCTGTGGAGACAACTTTTGACATAGGAGGTAGGATGAGGATTTGTATGGAGAGAATTCTGCCTCAGTTATCTGTAAGAGGAGATGATCTGGGCGGGGGACCCACAGAAATTGATCATAGAGTGGTGTGAAGATGTTAGGTGGAAAGACCAAAGCAATTCTTACAAGTTCTACTCTGACCTCCAGACGTGCATTGAGGCACAAATGCCTGTTTGTGAAGGCAGGTACACAGACACACTGACACAGACACACACACACACACACACACACACACACACGTACACTTAGACTGGTGAACTCAGCGTTTGTCCAAGGCTGGCCTTATACTTAAATCAGCCCTCTTCTTTCCCTTGAGTGCTGGGATTATTGGCATAAGCTGCCATACCCAGCTTCCTCCCCTCCTCTCCCGTTTCTTTTCTCTCTCTCTCTCTCTTTTTTTTGTCTTTTTGAGGCAGGATTTCCCTGTAGCCACAGCTGACCTGGATTTGCTATAGAGACCAGGCTGACCTTGAACTCACAGAGATATCCCTGCCTCTTTCTGCCTCCCAAGTGCTGGGACTAAGGGTGTGTGCCACCATGCTTGGCTATTTCTTCTTTTTCATCTGCTTTTTCTTTTATTTTTCTTGCTTGTTTTGAGGCAGGGTCTCCTTGTAGCCCCAATTGGCCTGGAACTCCTTATATTGACCAGGATGGCCTTGATCTCACAGAGATCTGGCTGCCTCTGCCTCCCAAGTGCTGGGATTAAAGTCAGGGCTACAACACCTTGTTTTTTTTTTGGTCTTTTTGAAGCAGTGTCTCCCTGTGGCCCCAGTATCCTGGAACTAACTATGTAGACCAGGCTGGCCTTGAACTCACGGAGATCTGCCTGCCTCTGCCTCCCAAGTGCTGGGACTAAAGGTGTGCGCCACCACACCCAGCACGCCTTGTATTTTTTAGACATACATTGATTGATTGCCTTTGTGTGTGTGTGTGTGTGTGTGTGTGTGTGTGTGTCTGTCTTAATCCCCACCCAGATGCATGTGTAAAGTCCAGAAGACAACCTGTGGGAGTCACATTTCTCTTTACTGTGTGGGACCCAGGGATGAAACTCAGGTCATGAGGTTTGCCGGCAAGTGCCTTTACGCACCGAACTGTGTGTCACTGACACAAACACCCAACCATCTTAAAGAGACATGAAATCATTCTCTCTGGCAGCCGTGCCTATGCTCAGTTTTTTTTTTTTAAAAACTATTTTATGCCTGGTGTGGTGGTGCACAACTTTAATTCTAGCACTTGGGAGGCAGAGGCAAGTGGAGCTCTGTGAGTTCAAGGCCAGCCTGGTCTGCATAGTGAGTTCCAGGACAAATGGGGTTTCAGGGAGACCCTGTCTCAAAAAAAAAAAAAAACCTACAAAAAACAAAAACCTTTGTATTTATTTATTGGTCTTTTTGAGACAAGGTCTCCCTGTAGCCCAGCTGGTCTGGGACTCAGTATGTAGAGCAGGCTGGCCTTGAACTCACAGAGATCTGCCTGCCTCTGCCTCCTGAGTGGTGGGATTAAAGGCGTATGCCATCAAACCTGGCCTTTTATTTATTATTATTATTATTATTATTATTATTATTAATTATTATTATTATTATTATTATTTTTTATCTTTTTGAGATGGGGTCTCCCTGTAGCCCCAGCTGTCCTGGAACTCACTATGTAGACCAGGCTGGCTTTGAACTCACAGAGATCCGCCTGCCTCTGCCTCCCAAGAGCTGGGATTAAAGGCATGTGCTACCACATCCGACTTATTTATTATTTTTATTTTATGTATATGAGTGTATTGCCTGCATGCATGTAAGTGCACCTGTGTCATGCAATGCCCACAGAGGTCAGAAGAAGGCATTGGATTCCCTGGAATTGGAATTACTGATGCTTGTCAGATACTCTATGGATGGTGGGAATTGAACCTGGGTCCTTTGGAAGAGCAGCCAGTATTCTTAACTGCTGAGCAATCTCTCCAGTCCCCATGCTCAATTTTTATATGTAAAATATTTATATTTTTAAAATATTTTATTTGTTATTTTTATTTATTTTTATTTTTTGGTGTTTTTTTGAGACAGAGTCTCCCAGTAGCCCCAGCTGTCCTGGAACTCACTATGTAGACCAGGCTGGCCTTGAACTCACAGAGATCTGCCTGCCTCTGCCTCCCGAGTGCTGGGATTAAAGGCGTGCGCCACCATGCCCGGCTTGTTATTTTTATTTTTTATGTATATGTGTATATTGCCTGCATGTAGGTAAGTGCACCCATGTCGTGCAGTGCCCACGAAGGACAGAAGAGGCTGTCGGATCCCCTGGAACTGGAGTTTCAGACAGTTGTTAGCCGCCATGTGGGTGCTGGGATTTGAACCCAGGTCTTCTGCAAGAACAGTCTGTTCTTAACCGCTGAGCCATCTCTCCAGCCCCATATGTAAAATATTTATATTCTCTGAAAAGAAACTTGAGTATCCTGTTTTAATATGTTGCTATCTATACCTTGAAGAATTTATTTTGTTTTGAAGTGGTGTGTTTTGTTGTTTTGTCTTTATTTTTGGAGATATCTGTTTTATTTCCTTTTTCACAAGTGGTGCCATCAAGCTGCCTCTGTCCCAGGTGGATCTCTGTGAATTCAAGGCCAGCCTGCTCTACATACTGAGTTCCAGGCCAGCTGTATCAAATCCAGGGCCTTAAGCAGGCTAAAAGTGCTCATCCTCTGAGCTACACAGTAGCCTCCTCTCATTTTCTTTTCTTGGGAAGCTCAGACTCGCCCTCTACTTTGTACATTCTGGCTCTGTCTCCCAGGTGCTGGGATTATAGTGGATTGTTGCCATTGTCTGCTTTGTGCTGTGAATGTACACTGTGCAGGTTTGTGCTGACAGAGAGGGCTAATGCACTTTGACCCTGTTGATCACCCTGTGAGACAGGAATTTTGTCCATTTGAGAGAGGAGGAGTCTGTAACTCTTAAGAAGGTTAGTCTCTTGCCCAGGATGACACAGTTGAGGCAGGGTGGGTCCCACAATCTCAGTGCCCTATGTTTGGGGACTATAACTGCATGGGAATTGTCTGCATTTTATCATTAGCAGAGGAAAGAGAAACTTACGCTATTGTTCAGAGAAGCGTATGTGTGTAACTTTTTGCGAATGGCAGCCAGAGGGGTTTTGAGGTTGCTAGGTGAATTGTTTGAAGAAGTGTGTGTGCATAGTAGGTGCAGGTGATAGTATATTATTATAAGGAGATGGGCATACATAACCAAAATCATAGTGTCGTGGATTAAACCATCTCCTATACTTGCTCTTCTCAAAACAGCACAACAGAATGTTGTCTTTTCCTCTCAGGACCTACTTACTTACAGTCCAGTTTTTCATGAGAAGAAAACAGGCACAGAAGAGAGAAAGGTGCCAGCTTATTCAAATTCCGGTTCTTTGAATAATAGTCTCTCGGTCAACTGCACTGACTTTAATATGTGCTAGTGTTAGAAATGGGTCTGGGATCTAAAGAAAATGATCATATAATCCAAAGTATTTTGGCAAAGCAAAGTTTTACTTCTGCAGAAAGGTACAAAGCTGCCTTAATCCAGCAAGCAAGCACATCTCTCAGGGGTCCTGATGGGTTTTACACCCAATGCAAGGGGTCCTGTGCCTTACTCTGAATGGTCAGAGCATGGCCTCACATTCATAGATGTTTTAATCATTCAAAAGTGCACATTTCATCAGCAAAGTGAAACTTTGTTTGTTTGTTTTGAGATAGTCTCCTATATAGCACCAGCTGGCCTAGAAATGGCTGTGCAGACCAGGCTGGCCTCAATCTCAAAGAAATCTATTCCCTAAGTGTGGGAATTAATGGCGTTAGTATAGATTCCCTTTAGTCATGTTTTCTTAAATCCCCATATTAACAGAGATAAGATATTTACATTGATTTTTCTTTCTCTGGTCAAATCAAGCAGCACACTATAAAACTGGTTAGACAACTACAAAGCGTGGAGTGAAATACCATTTTCTTTCCCAGTGCTGACTTCCTGGGTAAAGAGAATTGTGTCATTACAGGACTCTGTATCATTTGAGGACGTAGCTGTGGACTTCACCCGGGATGAATGGCAGTTTCTAGACAGTGCACAGAGGAGCCTCTACAGGGATGTGATGCTGGAGAACTACAGCAGCCTGCTGTTCTTGGGTGAGTTACCTCTTCTGTAACTCTAAGACAGATCACATTCT